CAAACACATCTCCTGTTCACGACCGGAAGCGCCGGACATGTCACACCCTTCGTACATAGCATACATTCAAGATATTGACCCGGTGCGACTCGCGGTCATAGAACCTATCGATGCTGCCGGCCCCGAGCTCCAAGCTTCCCCAAGTCATAGGCGATCAGTCCCGCGCTCTCGCCTTCGGGTAGAGCCATAAGAACGCCGCCCAGTCGAATATCGCGCGGCGGGCGTCCCGACAGATGAGGCAGGCCAGCGGCGACACCGACCAGTAGCCCGAACCAGAGATTAGGGAAGAACTTCTTAACCTGGCTTGCCAGAGCAGCGGCCGAGCCCGTTCCATATTCCTGTCCTGCAGGAAGCGTTGCAACAATCACGTTGTGCCCAAGTATGTCGCCGGCATTAAAGACATAGTCGTCGCCTCCTCCTATAGGAAACCGCCCATAGTGTCTGTGATCTATTATGTGCAGGGCAGCCTGTGCCTCGATCTCGAAAGAGGCGATCCATGCCACGGTATAGATTTCCGGATGAAGGACGGATATTTTTGCTAGATAGTGACCAAAATCGAACGGACAGAGCTACTTACGGCGTGCTAACGAGAACTAAAACTACTTTCATTTAGTGAGAGAATTAGAGAGGGGCCTGCAAGCGACGAAATTGCGGCCAGGATCAGGTACGTGGGGAAAAGAATTCTCGAGCTAGCCATTACTGGCGAACACTACCAATTCACGGTAACGGTTGGCTCGAGTATTCTTTTTCCCACTTATTAAGGTATCGGTTTTTAGCTATCGCCTCAGTTATCTCCCCGGACCCACGTATATAAATCTAACGGAAAGAAAAAGACGTTGTGGGTCGTGGCTACCAGTCATCCCCTTTGCGGCGGGTATGGACCTGCCGTGGGTTATGGGTGTCGTCGGGATAGGGCGCGGTGAAGGCGGAAATCTGATTTAAAAATGTCTTAGGTGAAATGGACAACGAGTGAAGGTATCATGCATCAGTAACAAGCTGCATCCCTTTCGTTTACTTAAAGTTGTATCTCTTTGTTTTGTTTTGCCGTTATCTCTTCACTTCATTCATCTAGATCCCAATATCTTCGCTTCAGCGCATATTATCTAGAGTACAGCGCTCCCTACAAATGCCTCTTCCCGCTTCCATTACCACTGCTGCGGCCTTGGCTGGCTTTTTGACGAGTAAAGCACTCTGGGAGCTCTTATGGATGGTTCGGCAGGCAATACGACCGCACAGAAGCCGCACGCAAAGCTGGACATGCCCAGCTTGCCAAAGAGACCACGATAAGCGGCACAAGCGACTCTAGCTACCCACGTCCCTTTCCGACTCGTAGAATGATCCTCGGACGGGGTGTAGGCTGTTCCTCTCTCCTCGTGAGGATGATCTTCGGTGTAGACCTTTCACTCTCCGGAGGGGAAGTTATAGCACTGCCCACTGGCGACTTCACGCTCCCGGATGTCACAAGTTTAATCCGCACACGGAAGCTGCTTCCGTGCAGGCGGGCGGCGTGGGCTTTGAAACGCTCCGGACTCTCTAACACCATCCCCTTGCATTCCTCGTGGGGGCAGGCCAAGGGTCCGCCTCTGGCGTGTTCGAGATGGTCCTGCAGATGGTCCCACAGCGCGTCTGTCCGCGTGTACGTCTTCCCGCAAAAGATGCAGGGATCCGGCTTCTTCCGGGTGTACGGAGAGCGCCGACGGCGTGGAGTGATGGCCACATCGCGAGCAGGTATGGTAGGATGGTGCCCGGCTCCCGAGTCGAATTCACTATATGGGGGCGGAGGCGAGCAAAGCGGTATTTCCGGCGCTGGAGGGCTCGGGGCGCTTTGCGCCAGCCTAGGCTTCGGTGCGACGGGCGGTCCGAGAGGGATCGGCAAGACGACCTCCGACGATGGCGTCGGGAGGGGCTTCGGTCGAGGCTCTGGCTGCGCCCGCTGGAGCGGCTCACACACGAAAGCATAGGCAACCATGGCGTTGATGGCCTCAACTTTGCGCCGCACAATATCCTCTTCGGGCAGGTCCTCGTCCATATCGCCCATGATGTCGGTAAGGACACGTCGTTCCGGCAGGCTGTGCGTGACTTGTCGTTCCACCACGGGTTCGTGAATGCCCTGCAGCTGGTTCTGCAGTTCTTTATCGTCGCTTTCGGTAAAGTACTCTTTGTACATCTTCCGGAATACCTTTCTTCGTTGCTTCTGTCTCGCGGTGCTCAGCTGCGCCTTAATGCTCTCGTACTGTCTTTTCTCGTCGTCCGTGGCCCGGCTGGGACGCCCGTAATTCTGCTGCAGTGTCATTTGCAGAGCCTCCATCTCTTGCTCCAGCCGGCGGACGGCGGCGCTGGGGCCGATCATACGCATCATCTCGTCGGGCACTCTCTTCGGGGCATTCTCGTCCAGGCGGAGGCCCATGTGGTTGAAGATGGCCAGGTAGGGCGTTTGCGTGCCGCGACCCATGAAGGCGTCCTGGACGACGGCGTTCATCTTGGCGTTGTGGTAGAATTCCTGATAGACGGTGCTGTTCGCTTTGTGCCGCATCCCTTGGTCGCGGACCGACCGACGATAGTTTGCTTCGCGATATCAGCACACCGTCAGACCAGGCGAAGGGTGGAACTTACAGTCGACGCAGTCTGCATACCCTCGTCGATGAGCGTACTGTGCCAGCTTTTCGAGCAGCCCTATAGCGACCCTGAGCCGTTCCGAATGGCTGTCGAATATGGACGCCGTTAGAGCATCGTCTGATTTCTCCCACAAGTCGTTGCTCCCACCCTTAGGCTTCAAGGCGTCGCACGCATTGGTAGGCTGCCAGACCATCTCCACTTTCTTTTCTACTTTCTTTCTCAAGTCTGTCCTGCGGAACACAGGCTTATGCAGCCACTCCTTCTTCCATCGAATCTTCAGGGCGCGCTTGCTGAGCTTGGTGCTAAAGAACGGCTCGGCCCGGGTCTGATAACCCTCGTTCGCAATGAGGCCTTCGGCCAGCGCCTTGGCCAGGATATAGGTGATGGGACAAAGAACGGGGAGTGACTCTTCGATGAAGATATACCAGGTCGGGACGATCTTTTTCTTCTCGCCCTTGTGGTATCGGAGAAGAATCTGCATGGCCAGGCGGTCCCGGCCGCCGTTTCTCTCTGGATCGCGGAGGATCCAGAGATCGATGTCCTCCCAGCAGAGGACCTTAAGCCTCGGGTTGTTGTCGCGTTCGTCCACTTGGTGGCACACCCAGCACTTCTTTACCAGTGGCTTAAAGTACTTGTCCGTGCTATACTCTATGTCTGTGTAGGCATCCGATTCGTCGTCATACTCCTGAACTTTTGCTATTAGGTCTTTCGGCTTTGCGTAGATCAGCTCGTGCTTTCGACAGCCGGTCCACATGAACAAGATGCGAAGGAACGCGTCGTCGATCCGGTCAAGCCCGATGTGGAACGTCGAGGTGTCGCGCACCCAGAGGAAGTAGAGGTGATAGATAAAGAAGTCGGGGCCCATGACAGGCTTGAGCTTTGGCTCGCGCCTCAGCCCGTACTTGGGCGTGATCTCGGAACGGGCGACGTTCCGAAGGTGGTCCATAAGCGACTTCTCCGGCTGGTGACCGGTGTACTTCTTATACAAGCCACCCAGCTTCCTCGTGTGCACGCGGATGGCACTCTCGCTCTGAATTGGTTTCTTCTGCAGTTCCGCCTGTCGCATGAGGTAGCGCATGAATGATTCACCAAGCCCCTTGTTTTCGTAGGTGAGGGTTTTGATGAGGCCTTTCCAATCTCGGTGCCCTATCGTCGCGGCGAAGGTAATCCATCGGTTCTTGAGGTCAACGAGGTCGGCCTTGTGGCGGTCCGAAAGCCGCGGTGGCACCGGACGGCGCTGGTTGCCCTGTTGCCAGACATTGTGAAGTTCCTCAGCCTCTAAGGGCTCGGGTTCGGGGGTCTCTTCATCGCGAAGTTCCTGTCGATATCGCTCAATCCTGGACAGGTCCAGCGGGTCCATTTCAGCCACAGAGCCCGCTAGTGCCGGCGAATGCCGTCAATCAAGCCACTGACCCAGCCACGAGCCACGGAGACCGGAACCCTTGCTGAGAAGGGTAAAAATAAAATTGGATCGGAGTACCTGGCAGGGTTGGACAATGTACAATTCAACACAGACAATGAACCACCAAGCTCGAATACGGCAGCTTTGAGGAAGTTGCAGAGGACATCAAATGCAATATTGCAGCAAACCGACTTGAGTTTTCTTCTTGGAATTTTCTAGACAGGAGCACAATGGGAAAGCATCTCGATTTAAATCTCCTGGGTAGCCCGACTCCCGGATTTTGGATTCTGGGCTTCCTTCAAGGCCATGCTGTGCACATTTGGAGTTTCTGGTCTGTGAAGTGGACTTTGGCCGGTACCTGTGGCCGAGCTTTGGGGTACTTATGAAGGGTGGTCGAGGGTGCCAAAAACAGCGGATCGGGGCTAGCCAAAAGTGGCACCCAGGACGGCAAAACACACCTTTAAAGTGTAATAACGGTTGCAGCGGCTGTAACCAACCGTAAAAAAGTGCTGCAGACTCTTCCCGCAGGAAGCAGCAACACGGGGACACGGACAGGAGGGCAAGCACTACCAATTTCGTAAGAGGAATTGTTAAGGAATGAGAAATTTAACCCGGAAAGAGAACCGTGCACTAACAGTTTATTAAGATTTGTTAAGGCTGTAAAAAGATGCACGCAAAATTTCGCAGAGCCGGCACTAACAAAGCACCCGCAACACTTTCCAACCTACTGTAGATACTAATGGAGACAGTGCCACTGAATGATAAGTTCTCTCCTTTAAGTGTCCTGTTAAAGCGCACGCCGTAAAAGTTCCATAAGCCGAATGAAGTTTAAATGATTATAAATAAGATAGTGTTATCCTGCAGCAAAAGTGCACAATTAAATAAGGCGTAAGGAACGGGCTTAAGTGTAGGAAAGCGGTCTGAAGATTGTAAGTTGGGAGGATATGGCTCGTTTTAACTTCTTACTCTGCCAATTAATAGAGCATCAGTGGTTTAGTGGTAAAATTCATCGTTAGCTATCGATGGGCCCCGCGTCCGAATCGCGGCTGATGCACGTGTATTACGCGCTGCAGTCCCGCAGCGTACTTTTTTTCGTTGTTTTTCGATCCCTTTCTATCTCCTCTGCTTAATCCTTAACGTCTAATCTGTGTCACTTTTCTTTTATTATGGTTGTCACGGCAAGCAATCGAGCAGTCACACCAATTGAGCCATAGCCTGTAAAAGGATATAAGTAACTAGTTAAAGCTGCAAGCTCCGGCCCTTAGACTGCACCATAGTTGTCGCACACACTGTACTGCGGCGCGCATCATGATCGCATGCATGCGCCCGCTAGTGCCGTGATAATAGTAGTCTTTAATCTGCTCATTTAAACATAACGCTTCTTCGAACGCACAGTAAAAGTGCACAATTAAATAATGCCATAAGGACGAAGATTGTGAATTAGGATAATATGGTTCGTTATAACTTCCTACACTGTTAACTAGTAGAGCATCAGTGGTTTAGTGGTAAAATCCATCGTTGCCATCGATGGGCCCCGCGTTCGATTCGCGGCTGATGCACGTAATATCACATGCTGTAGTTTCACAGTATCCTTTTTTGCGATCCCTTCCTATCGCCTCTGCTCAATCCTTGACGTTTGATCTGTGTCACTTTTCTTTTATTGGGGTATTACCGTATTAGTCTTTGATCTGCTCATTCAGACAGAGCGCTTCCTCGAACGCTGGATCCAAGGAGGCTTCCCAACTCCCCACAGTGCCGCGTTTCGTACCTAGGCACCTTATTCACTGTGTGGCGGCTAATGCATTGAGTTGCATTTTCTGTTTGACCCGACCCACTTTGGACTGATTGATCTTGTTTCCTCTTTGTCCTTTACTTAACGATTCATGGCCGAGTAGAACGGCGCCCATTCATTCGGTAAAAGATGGAACACGCAAGCTGCGCACCATGATCAGCTCCGAGCCCCGACGCTGCAGCTGTAATGCGGCCAGAAAGGAGGGGCCAGCCGAGCAATCCGAAGCAAGTTTTCCTGACGAGCCAATGGCATGATGCACATTCAGGCCACCATCATGCAGTTCCAACTAAGCTTGAACCAAAAGCACTGGGATTGTGGAGCTAGAGCTTGGAGCTGCAGCTGTGGTGTGCTCCATGCACCTTGATTTCCCGCCGACATGATGACGACTCCAAACTCAGAAGCAGCAGGCATCGGGGGCATTGAAAGACCGCTTGATCCTCCATTGTAAGACGGCCCAGGTGCCACAGGAACCACAGAGCTGTTCTGTGTCCCCTAGATCGACTTCACGGACAGTACGTGAAGAGTCACTGACTTCTTGAGTCTTTCAGAACTCGACTTACAGGATTTTTACTCGCCCTGTTGGGGAATGAAGATGAAGCACATCACCTGTGCTCTCCTGGCGGCTGCCGCCACGGCCTTCATTATACCTGATGGAGCCATGTCGGACCAAATCTCTCTTTCTGCCAACGTGAACAACGTATGGCAAGATGATATGGTGGGGGACGAAGATCTCTGGTGGAGCAAACTGGCTCTCTCTAACATGGACGACCTTCTGGCTGGGGAGGCAGCAGCTGGACGTGGCCACAGCATGGACCACACCCTTGACCGCACCCTCGACTCCATCAACACCCTTGCTGGGAGTGTCGTGTCTTCCTATGCTGAAGACGACGATGATCGGCGAGGAGGAGGAGACGACCATCACGGCCACGACCATGATCACGGCCACCATGGGCATCACGGCCACCATGGCAATTCCAGCAGGACCATTTATGAGCTCATCCACGAGAGCAAGCACACACGACGGTTCGCAGAGTTGGTCGACGAATACGACGACATCAAGGAGCTGCTGCAAGAGACCAAGCACAACCACACGCTCTTTGTGCCGACGGACGAGGCCTTTGAGCACATCCCGCATCACGGCGATGATGACAAGAAGCCATCCAAGGAATTTGTGCGCAAGGTGCTCGAATACCACATCGTGCATGGTTGCTATTCGGCAAAGCGGATGCTGTTCGCGAGCCATACGCTCCCGACGGAACTGGAGCTAGGCAGTCTCGGCGAACCCGACCGGCGACAGCGACTGCGAGTCGGCGTCAATCTCCTCGGCGGCGGGGTCGGCGGTCTCCGCCTCAACTTTTACAGCAGAGTGGTGGCGGCCGACTTCGAGGCCAGCAACGGTGTGATTCATGCCGTCGACAAAATCCTCGTTCCGCCGCCTCACATGGCCAGAATCATCAAGGCCTTCCCAAACACGTTCAGCACCTTCTCGCTCGCCATGGAGACTACTGGTCTGGGAGAAGAACTGGCCGAGAGAAAGGAGAAGGAGAACTGGCGCGGTGGTACGCTGTTCGCTCCGACCAACTTTGCCTTCGCCAAGCTCGGCCCTCGCCTCAATGCGTTCCTCTTCTCCGAGCACGGCAAGAAGTACCTCCGCGCACTTATAAAGTACCACGTTGTTGCCAACGAGACGCTCTACTCCGATGCGTACTATCATGGCCACGAGAATGATCATGAGGGACAAGACGATGGCGAGGAGAAGGCGGACGGCTACTATAGGCACGTCGATCTGCCGTCGCTGCTCGATGACAAGCCCATCAGGGTCGATATCATCCGCCGGTTTGCGGGCTTCCACATCTCGATGCGAGTGAACGGCTTTGGCTACGTGTCGGTCCAGGATGGTGTTGCCGAGGATGGCGTCATCCAGGTGGTTTCGAGTGTGCTGTTTCCGCCTCATGGCGATCATCATAGTGTGAACGTTGATGATGATCAGGGCGAAGAGATCGGCGAGGGCGATGCTATGAGCGTCGATGGGCTGAAAGAACGATTGGCGCCGTACTTGGATGAACCGCTTGAGCGCGAGCAGATGGGTGATTTGCAATTCTTGCCAGAATAGCTGCAAAGGAGCGCGCAGAACGTGTATGTGACATCATTGAAAATTCTCGTTTTATTTTTCCGAGATCGCGGGGAGTATCTGGACATGTGGGCCACAGACTTTTGATACACAGAACTCCACTCGGGTGTCTGACTTGAAGTGTTTCTCGTCGCAAACCACATCTTTATTAGGTACCTAGTACATACAAGTACCTTAATAGGGTCCTAACCAGCATGAGCGTCAGAACAAACAAGAGGTCAAGCAATGGGGGCAAGTAAAGACGGATTCGAAGTCGAGAAGACTGTGGAAGGAAGACTCATTCTGTTTTCACTCAACAAGCACCCCACCGACAGCTCAGTTCAACATGCCTCATTCCGAAGGAGACATCCCACCCACGGTCGCGCCGTCCATCAACTTCCGACGAGTACCAGTATCGTAATGCGCATACCGAGGCTTTGAAGAGCGCAATTGAGAGCGAGCTTAACAGCAAGCACGGGTCCGCCAGAAGCAATAATGAGGACGGCCATGGACAAAAATAAAGGGGTCGTACAGAAAGACGGAGGACGTTAGAGGTGAAGAGGAGGTTTACAGAGGAGGGAGAGAGGTGCGATACACAGGAAAGGCGGAGTGCAGAGTGCACAGGAGAAGAAGGGAATTCCCGCAGAATAAGAGAATCATAACTAAGGAGACAGGGCTATGTTACTTACATATGTGAAGAGGAGGTCGTTTACCATGAAGTAAGAGCAGGGCTCTATCGAGGAGGAGAGGTTCCAAGAGGTCAAGGGATTTTGACCAAGAGAAGGAAATACGGACCGAAGAATTACCAAAGAGACGCTCTTCTTATGAGCCATTCTGAACCACACGTTCGACATGAGGAGTGTTTTCCGCAAGGCAAAGCTTCCCGAATGGGACGGCATGTACAGGCGGGCCGCGTGCTAAAGAAAGGCACAAACAGAAGAGCAGGATCTACACGCGAGATGTTGAGTTTCTAGACTGGATAACTGTATATGAGGATAGGGATGACACAGGAGAAAGAGAAAGGCCGCGCATATAAAGGAGGATGGCTGGGCGGAAGTGGAGGGATACACAGCAGGCAAAAAAATAAGGGGAGGACGTAAGTACAGTGAAGGTGAGCAAATGCCGAGAAAGAATATTGCTAATAAAGCTCACCTGGACCGGGAAGACAGCACCCCAAAACTACAGGTAGTGAATCGGAGACAAAGACATGCTGAAGAAAAGGGCAAACAAGTCGCATGGGGGGGGTTAGGAGGACCACAAGGAGCTATATATGGAACGAAGGTAGAATGAAATAGAGGGGACCCATGCCGAGAAAGAGCACTTCACGAAGGGATGATGTCCAAAGGAAGTATCTCTGAGAAAAGCATCCGAAAGGAGCCTGTGTAGAAGAGCCGTAAGCAAAAGGAAAGAACGATTATATAGACTAATTATCAGATATCTAAAGAGATGATAGAGGAAGGGATTGCCTGCGAGAAAGCCCCTTAAATATACTAATATTGCTGCTGTACTGTACCTTGAACCCACAATATGCACACTCTTACAGATCTCGCTGATGCCTGTTTAGCAAAACCCTGAGCCGCAGGTTCCGTTGCAAGTATAAGCCCCCACGAACGCAAGTCAGCCCTCTTGAAGCCAGCCCTCTACAGATGCAGCCTTCTAAGTTGAGAATCTCAGGGCATAATTATCATGTTGCCCAGGCTGGTAGCGTTGCAGAGGGTCTGGCTGATGGCCGCTAGACGTCGAGCCAAGCTGATATATCGGTTGAGCCTGCAATTCGAGTTATTTGTCGCTTGGGGTGAGTGATTTTCTCATTTGGTTTCCTGCTGCGCCAAGTTCTGCTTTCGATTACCTCAGGTAGTTGAGCACGAATTGCTGAGCTTCCATCAAATTTTATCCCTACTTAAACGCACGCAGTTATATCGTTCGCTAATGAATTGGCTCTGCTTTCAACAGGACCGCTGACTGATCCGTGTTCTGGTCGCGGTTCTCCCAATGCCTCCAGCACTGAGAAGCGGCTAGCAGGCTGGGAAGACAACGACGGTCTCGCCGAACTCGATTCTTAAGCGTCACCTGGCTGCCGTGCGTTATAGAAGGTAGCATTCCTTGAGCAAGAAGCTGGCATACAGTGGGAACGAGTACATGTGCTCGCTGC